ATAAGATGGTACATGGGAGTAAATTTATTTTGTACACCGACCATAAACCTTTGCTGTCTAGCTTCGGTACCAAACGAGGAATCCCTGTTCACACGGCAAATAGATTGCAACGTTGGGCCACCACTCTTTTGGCGTACGATTTCGATTTACGTTTTAAAAGCACGTCTTCTCTCGGTCATGCTGATGCATTATCAAGATTGATTGCAGAGTGCACCTCCAAAACCCCAGATGAAGACAGTGTTGTATCATGCATTACCGTAGATCCTGAGATCAGACAAGTATTCCAAACATGTGTACGTCAACTACCAGTAACAGCGGAGGCAGTCAGAGCAGAAACGGCAACAGACCCCTTGTTACGACGTATTATGAGATACCTCAACACTGGTTGGCCATCACGCCCCTTGGACTGCTATGCTGAGCAGTTTCGTAAAAGGAGTTTCGCCTTAACCATCATTCATGGATGCCTGATGCTGGCCGATCGAGTTGTGATTCCTACCAAGCTGCAGCGGCGCGTTCTCAGCCAGTTCCACGAAGGTCACCCAGGAATCAGTCGTATGAAATCCATAGCACGCAGCTATGCCTATTGGCCATTTATGGACCAAGGTATTGAAAATGTTGTTCGTTCCTGCAGCAGCTGTGCTATGGCAGCAAAATTACCTGTAAAATGCGAACTTCATTCTTGGCCGATCCCAAATGGACCGTGGTCACGCATTCATATTGATTTTGCCGGACCCATAGAGGGATTCCACTACTTGATAATTGTCGATGCTTACTCAAAGTGACCCGAAATTTTTCAAACAAGATACGCAACTACCTCTATTGTCTTACTACACCTACGTCATCTCATTTCAGAATTTGGAGTTCCCGAAAAAATTGTTTCAGACAATGCTTCGCAATTCACTTCCCAAGAATTTGCTGACTTTTGCCATTCTCATGGCATCGAACACATCCGCAGCCCAGCGTACCATCCGCAATCGAACGGGCAAGCTGAACGTTTCGTTGATACGTTCAAGCGAGCGCTGATTAAAATGGAGGGAGAGGGGAACATCCAAAAAGTCATTGACAAATTTTTGCAGATTTACCGTACTACGCCAGGCCCAGCAGTACCACAAAACCTATCTCCATCCGAAGCGTTTCTCGGTAGGCGCGTCAGAACCGTGCTTGATGCTTTGAAGCCAGTGCAAAACAACGGACAACGCAATGCTCAAATGGAGTTGGCATTTAATCGCCATCATGGAGCACGCCCCCGGCACTTCATGCCTGGTGACAAGGTATACGTTAAGAATTTTCGAGACGGAAAGTCATCCTGGATTCCTGGCCGTATCGTTGAACGAGTCTCAGGTGTTTTGTACAAAATACAAGTAGATTCTGTCATATGGACTAGACACGTGAATCATATTAGACCCCGTGTTGAAGTGCAAGGGACTTCTCGGAGTCGGGAAACTTCTTTACCACTGGACATTTTGCTGGACACGTATCAACTGGGCCCATCAGAAGAACCTGTAGCGCAAACGGAGAATGCACCAACAAACCGAAGGTATTCAACGCGCACCAGAGCCCCAGTGCAAAGACTAGTGGTTAACCCAAGGTGTAGAGCATATGAATCAAATGTAGCATGCTATCCAATTTTCTCTAAAGGAGGGAGGTGTTAGGACAGCAGTGTGCAGCCGTTCATTATGTGAACCATATTTGTTTTAGCCATTTTACTGTTTAGTATTCCATTGTTAACTTTCTCACTTCACTGAATTGTACCCATGCATGTGTCCACCGCGTTCCCGACACGCACACGTTTCGCTCAATCTATCACGCGCACAACACTGCTAACGCTAGACCTAATGATTGAATCATTGATCGCACCGATCGAAGCGCATGTGAGTGTGACCTTGATTGCCCGACAGACACGCCGTTCGTGGTCTCACCAGAATACACACGTTGTAGCTCGTCGTCCAGTGTTTTCACTCCCGACACGGTTGGTGCAGTTTTTGGCGACACAATAAAGTGAGAAAAAATACCTTCTACTATTCAAACGGTAGTGTTGCGTCATTAATTTCAGATGGTTGCCTCGGTTTTGTTTGTATGGGGCTAGAGTTTACAGTGATGTACATGGATGCTTGCTTTCGGTTAGTATCCGGTATGTAAGAGTAAGATCTCCGCGAAGCCGTCGGTATTCTAATGAGAACACACCGAGTACACGAAGGCGCATTTCGTAACTTATACCGGATAGTCCACGCGTTGCCTTTGTGGCTCTTCTTTGGGGCTGTTCCAATAGGCGGATGTCTCGTTTTAACCATGGACACCAGGCCTGAATTGCATATTCAGCATGAGGACCAATGTAGGAGTTAATCAACAATGGTACTAGTTGTCGCTTAAAAGTCCCGAGAGCTCGCCTAAAAAGTCTCAAGTTCAAGTTCGCCACACTTGCTGCTTTCGAACATTGGAGCGAATTTCCAAGACTATCTCGCACGATTATACCTAGGTCGCGTTCACTTGTCACGTGTTGCGTGACGTGTTGCCCCAAGAGGTATGTGTTGACGAAGCTGTTGTGCACCGTCAGCAGGTGGCGCTTTGCAGGTTTTAGTGGGAGCTGGTTCTTTTCTGCCCATTCGTTAATCTGGGTCAGATCTTCCTGGAGGTAGACACGGTTGGATGCTGAGCGAATAGCTCTCCATATTTTTGCATCGTCTGCAAATATTTGCATCTGAGATAGAAGGTCTGCTGGAAGGTCATTAATGTAGACTAAAAATAGGAGCGGGCCGAGGACGGATTCTTGTGTTACACCACTGGAGACGTAAAGGCTTTCAGAATAGGTGTCGGCTACTCTTACCTTGATTTCTCTGTCGTGTAAGTAGTCTTCCAACCAGGTGAGCAGGGAACCGTTGATACCGTAGGCAGCAAGCTTTTGGAGGAGAAAGAAGTGATTGACCCTGTCGAATGCTTTATAAAAATCCAGGTATATCACATCTATGGGCAATCCTTCATCAGCCGCCCTGGTCCATAAGTCCCGAGTAATCAGCAAATTGGTGAGACAAGATCGTCTGCGTCGGAAACCATGTTGGGTATTAGAAATTATCTGTTGACTTTCAAAGTATCGCGTCAGTTCATCTGCGATTACCGATTCCATAACTTTTGACAAAACAGGAAGGAGAGTAATAGGTCGGTAGTTAGCAGGATCCGAGCGCTTACCTCCTTTATATATTGGAGTGATAATTCCATCTGTAATATTGCACGACGCACGCACATAAAAGCTGAAGCAGTAGGTATGGAAAACAATCGGTAATATTCAAAGTTGGATTTTTGGTGGACACGCTATGTGGTTGGATTGCGGCAAGCAACCTCTATTGAGACCTCGGTTCAATGTGCGGTAGACCTCGGGCATTCCCATCGCAAGGACCGTATCCGAAACGGAAGTATTTCGGTGTATGGAGAAGCAACACCAAAATACTTTGAAATCAGTAAGATTCTTGCAGTAAATGGTACGCTGATAGACAATCGCACTACCACGTGTAACTCGCTGTTTAGTAGAGCATCCAGCTGGTAACTCGGTCTACCGTGACTGAACATGAGGATCATCATAGTAATGTAAAACTCAGGTTACAAACAGAGGTTGGTTACCAATCCAGTTATAACATTCGAAATGCATTGGTTCAATGTGTAGGAAAAGTTTCAGATCACGTGGTTTTACTCCGTCACGATTATCTGTTGCACTCTACAAGCATAGCAGTGCTGCGTAAACAGTGCCAAGATGCTCACTTTTGTCGATTCCCTCACCAGTACGTTATACCAAGGTTGTATTTATGCATGACCCTACATTTTAGCTGAACGGAGGACAATAAACAGACGATAAGTTTAGGATGGAAAAGAATTACTGAACAGACCAAGAGTTGAATGCGTTAACAGAATCCATGGATTTGAACTTGCATGTCTATGATACCCACCTGTGTAAACATCAGTTAGCTTCGGCGTATACTGACTTTTCGTAAAGATATAATAAAACTTCGCTGAGAATCTACTATGTGCCTGCGGGCTAACGACGTTCTTCACCAAGACGGCCTTTTATCTGGTCAGACAAAACGTGTTAAAAGTAACTGATTAGAGTACGTCGAAAAATTGTCGGTCGAAACCGTTTCTTTCTCTTGAAAATATATACCTAATGTTTAACCAAATATTAATTAAGTAAAAATTTCTCCTTTAGTTGGCCTTTCACACAAGCAATTGTTGCAGGTCTATTCCACGAACACTCTCTGGGTTAAGACTTAAAAAATAACCCAATGCAGATAAAAGCATCTGGCGGCCTTAGCAAATAGTGAACATAAGCGAGTGGGCTTCCTTAAATCCTATATCTGCATTTGAACTACCAGCTGTGTTTTTGGAATGTAATGATCACCGATGTGCTCTCTTTTTACTTTGAAATATACCACGGTTATTCAGATCCGAAGTGTGGTTTATGGTTGATCCTCGTTCTAAATCCCCTTGATCCTAGGCCATCCTTTGCATTTTTTATGTCTACGCTTTTCTCAGCCGTGGTGCGGAGCCCTTTCAACTTGTTAAATGAAGCGTTGTATATTAGCGCTCTGCCGTATGTTAGCTCATTTGGGACACATATCAGCAAATACAAAACGGTTACTCTATTAGCCGGTGACAATCACAAATCTAATTCAAGATTAGAAAGAAACGCAGCTTAAAATATCGTACTGACTCATACCCATGGCATAAACAATTGAGTTGGTAAACTGTAGACTTCGAATGGGATGGAGTTTGTTCACGGCTGAAAATATGACTAGGTTTAGTTATTGCCACTTAGAGTGTGCGATTTCACACTCATTTTTTGTCCTCCGTATTTCACAGGAACATAATTCTTGAAAGTTCACCGTTGCTAGCTTTGTATTTTATTACAGCCCTTGGCAACCATGAACCTATCAGTGAGAGGGATAAATATGAATAGTAACGTATCCAGAGCAGGCGTATTTATTGGCATGTTTTTGAATTTGCTCCTCTTCCAGACTGGTACTGCATGATGCAGCCTTCTGTCATCACGATTGTTCAGACCGCCGACATCGGCAAATACGTTTCGGGGAAAATCGTGTAATTACCTTCGAACGCCCAGAGATGGTCGACACGCGGACTGCTAAGGCATACGCTTCCACTGAATTTGGTAAGTAATATAATGGGTGACCATCTGTAGGGTACCTGAAGTCAATTCACCTGTCATGAGATGTAAGTAGTTGGCTTGGATGAAGTTTATTTACCAATCACTGGATGACTTCTTTTAAATCATACATACAAGGAATCAGTTTGAATATCCCAGTCTTGTTTGTACATTGCAATTTAGGCTTACACAGTAAGTGAATCAGGCCGGCTAGTTAACAACACTCCAAACTAAACTGGTTACCTGTCACTGCATTTGTCATACACAGGTGATCATATGGTTCTCTCCACTGTACTTTGCAATATGGGATTTTTCACCAACTAGACGGTGACTTGATTTCCGGGATTTGGAGCCCCGACCGTGTGTCTTAGGTTACGACACGGAAGTATTGTTGGCAAAGCCCAATGGTTGAGTGATCATGGCGATAGGCGCCAATCACTACTCGCCTATTTCCACTCCCACTTCGGATAATTCCAAACCAGCACAAAACCGTCGGCGGTAGAGTACAGGGATAGACAGTGACATCCTTTTACAGGAAAGTATCAGGCGACAATTTGTGTCCGTTTTCGTATTTACCACCCATTTTTTCAAATAGATAGCCTGCAAATAAATTAAACTACACTACAGTGGCTCTGGTCCACTACGGTTTTAAAGACATTGAATGCAACGGTCAGGTCCAAAGGAATAACCCAGTCGTGGTGTCAAGTTGGAAATCTTTACCACTGGCTTCACTTCATCTTCTACCGACTAAGATGTCTTCGTTCCTTCGTACACTTGTCTTGCAAAAAGATGGGCAAGGGAAGATGTATCTTTACACTTATTGATAGACCAAAAGTGTTAGGAAAAAGGCGCAAATAATTAAAACAAAATTCCTCTAATTAAGAGTATAACAAATAAAATGCTTTGCATTGATGCCCATTTAAAACAAAGTATTCACTCAGGTTATGCTAGTGGATATCAATCCTAGTCACGGTACTTAAGCGAGTACCAATCTCAGAAGGTTAATGGAGTGGAACGCCGCAGAATTTGTCCGAGGTGGTTACAAGAAAAGGTGGACGGTTGAAGCGAGCGAGGAGCGCGTTATTGCAGTAACTTGCCGCGCAAACGAATATCAACGAAGCCGGACGATGGTTTAGCCAAACAAGAACATACAATTTATAATCAGTCAAGAATAAACTTGTACACAAAAGATAAAGTAATCTTTTTGCGAGGTTCACATTCCCCAGTCATGTTAATGAAGAAAGTAGTAATTAAACCACAAATTGCAAACTCACTCAGCTGCTCCTGACTTCACATACGTCTGAACAGCAAACTGATAGCCGCTTGTCTAACTTGCATGTGGTATTCGGTGTCTTGTAGCAGGTGATCAAGTGAATTACGTAGAGCTGTTGATACTGCAGGGTGAGGCCACTTCAGCCTTCACAATTTAAACCGAGCATTACAGTTTGCAAATTCAGTACGAAAAGGTTTTCGGAGGAAAAGGATTTTGATGATACTTTAATTTTAAAATATTGACGGTTACAAGTTTGTTGCTGGCATATTTTTATATGTTGGTGCAGGGAATGTAGTTGGTTTGGAGAGGGCTGCTCCTTTGAGCGCTGCATCAAATAACTAGTTATGAAAACGATCTCTCAGGTGACACTTCGGTACATTCGGATAAAATCGAAGCGTTATGTCCTGCTGATATACGGCACTTTATAGTAAAAAATGGTTGATGTGCTCAAACCATACTCGAAGTTTCAAGCTGCCTGAGAGGTGAACAATGATACAAGTTGACAACCATTTTTACACGATATTACTTAGTTACGAGCTAGTTGTAAAGTTAACTATTTTTCACTGATTTGAACATATTCCGCAGACATGAGAGTAGTAGGTGAAACTGAAGCTATGCAGGGTATTATTGTAATGCACTGTCTGGAACCAAGGACTCCGTAAACTTACCAGCAATTAGAGAACATTTGCAGTTTTTTATAAGCCTATTGGCGTTCAAGGCTCATGAATAGCCGATTGCCCCAGGTCGAAATAATAAAGGCTGTGGGCATTCGCTTCTTAAGATTACTGTTAGGTACACACAACGGTAACGTTTGGTTAGATAAAAGAATTCATATGAACAACAGGATTGCGCCTTAATAGCATTCTTGACTGTTACTAAGTAAACAAGCAAATGGACAGCGGGTATTCAGAATTCCTTGCAGCATGTAAAATAGTATGAGATGGAGCGATGTGAAATTGACATAGAATGTGTTTAGAAAGATTTCGATGCGTATTCATGAGATCATGAAGGTGAGCCCACAGACATGACTACTTTTGATTTCGCCATTCCCGCTATGAGCATCAAGACTTTGTGACACTTAGATTTAAATAGTTGTTACATGCCCTAGTGAGCCGAGCTGAACGTATCTGCTCGGACGACACGCTTCCGAAAGAAATTGAGTGCATTCGTTCAGTGCTAAGGGAGAATGGCTATCCGGAGCGCTTCATCAGAGGCAACATAGAACATAAGAAGAAACAGCCTGTAGTTTTGACAATAGAATGTAAGTCAATCTTCATATTGCTGCCTTACAAGGGCGAGGTTGCGACGGAACTTTTATCTCATCGTCTTTCGTTTGCCGTCAGACGAACCTATCAAGCAACCCAGATTCAGCTCCAACACAGTGACCAGACATATTATGCCTTGCTGAGACATAGTTAAACTCCGACGTAACCGCCCTAGAAGTGGAAATCAGCGGCTACTTATGCTTCCGTTGTGATAGACCATCAAATAATCGCGGTGGCGTTCTGCTTTACTAAACTCTTGTTTGTGTTAGAGGCTAGTGAGCGCCTACCGAAGCGATGATGGTCTACGTGAGCAGTTGTGGTGTTCGACCTACCTCAGGCGCTGCGAGATGCTCGTAGGCGTGGTATATCGCAGTCCACTGAGCGGCTGCTTGGACTGGTTGCCGCATGTCCGCAACCACATGAGTCGTCGGCTGTTTCTACTCATGTGCGATTTCAACTTACCCCGAATACAGTGGCCTGAGGCTGCACTTCTCCTTAGCTATTGTAAAGTCCAGAGGAAGTTTACGAGTTGATATTTGAAAACGGGGCCACACAGCACATCAAGCAACCGACACGCATAAATGCTCGCACGACTCCATCGGGTTTAGACCTACTTTTGACCAGGTGTGAGCAACTTGTGCATGACATTCAAGTCTTAGAGCATCTGTGAGCGAGTAACCACTCGATGATCATAGCCAGCTTGGAACTGCCGTTACCATATTCTCCCCGCTGGAGCCAGCCTTCAACTATTGGAAGGCGGACTTTAATGGCCTCACTCGAGCAGCGAGCCAGATGGACTGGTTTTTACAAGAGGATTCGTCTATTGAAACCTGTTGGAGTATCATTAAATAGGAAGTGAAATTGTTGTGCGACCGATTTGTACCCCTCAAATATCGGAAATTTGAGCCAGTCAAACCACACTGGTTCGACAAGGAGTACAGCAAACTGGCCCGACGACGATGCAGACTAGGGAACAAATTCCTGTTATCTGGCTCTGATAAGGACTACAAGGCCTACAAGGTACAGCGAAATCTCTGCAACAAAGCGGAAACAAAAAACGCCGAAGCTTCGAGGAGCAGCTTACGATCGCCACAGAAACTGCTCCCAAGTGGATCTTAGCCTAAGTGAACCGGCGTCTGAAGCCTGAAGGCAATGTTCCAGTGTTAGAAGGCTCAGATAGACATCCCTAACCTCGAGCACAGATTCTGCGTCCGCATTGGCGGCACACTTCGCCTCCGTGTTTGCAAGTGACCAAGTGTCTGTAACGAGTTCATCGAGTACTGCTCGCGCTGAACTAGACAGCCTAGGCTGCAGTATTGCAGATGTACGCAAACTTCTAGCAAGTCTTGACTGGACGAAGCCTGCTGGACCAGCTGGAATCCACCCACTTATTCTCAAGTCCCTACCAGCCATCATCTCGCCTTCTGTAACTGAGCTGTTCAACAGGTCACTATCCACTGGAATATTACCGGGTGACTGGAAATGCTCAGTCGTAAAGCCAATACCAAAAGGTGGTAACCCAAGCAAAGTGGATAACTACCGGCCGACCTGCCTGACCGCTGTTTTGACAAAGACGCCCGAGTAGATCATAAAGAAGAGCCTTCTGCAGCTTCACGAGTCGAAAAGCCACTTGACACCCGCACAGCATGATTTTATGAAACGTCGCTCCTGCATCACCAACCTACTGTTCATGAGACACGAATGGTTACAATCGCTGAACCAAGGCAAATCTGTCAACGTCATTTACTTTGACTTCAGTAAGGATTTTAGCGAGGTAAATCATGTAGTGCTCCTCGACAGGCTGAGGGTGTGTGGGGTTGGGGACTCGCTGCATCAGTGGATCAGGAATTTCCTTGTTGATCGAAAGTGGAGGGTCAAGGTTGACAACCATTTAACCGACTGGTATCCATCGAGTAGTGGCGTGTCCCAATGCACGGTACTGGGGACGATTTTGTTTCTGATCCACGTAAACAATACGCCTCAGCTACTCCATTCACCTGGTGTGTTGTTCGCAGATGACTTGAAGGTATGGAGAGTTATCTGCACACCCAATGACTTTGACCTGCTTAAGCAGGAACTCGAACGCCTCTCCACGTGGTCTGGAGAGGTCAACCTTCCGACTAACCCGGTCAAGTCGTCATTCATGAGGCTGGGTAAGTGTGAGCACAGCCGAACGTACACAGTGGCGGGTCAACTGTTGCATTCCGCGCCTTTTGTGCGCGACCTCGGTGTGCTCTTACGCTGAGACCTAAAGTCCATTAACAACACAAATAGGCTGTACCAAAACAGCCTTCGTATGCTTTGGGCCCTCAGGCGCAGCTTCAGCACTTGGTCCGAAGCGATTGCCACTCGCCTCTTCGTCCCAATAATATGGCCAATGCTAGAGTATGGCTCTCCCGCGTATTGTTCTATAACCCGAGGGAAGTTAGCAAAGATTAAGCGAGGGCAACATGTAGCCACCAGGATGATTCCCAACTTACGAGTTGTACCGTACGAAGACGGGCGTAAGATACTAGGGCTTATCGTCCAATGCGGGTTGACCACATCATGAGGCACCGGATAGTACATCAGAGAAATTAGCCATGTTGAGACCGCTGCTTCATCTGTGCACACAAAGCAGCACATGAGGACACGGGTACAAGCTTGTCGTACCGGATTTGAAGCGAGTCGCTCACCAACTCTGTTTCGAACGCAGAGTGGTGAATGTATTGAACGGCCTGCCGCAATACCTAATTGAAGCAAAGTAGGTGTCGGAATTTAAGAAGTTCCTAGACAAACACTTTGCCGATGCAAAATATATTGAGCGCAACACAACATAACGGGTATTTGTCCCTGAATGACATTAGATGCAGCTACACAGAGCAAACTCTATTTTCTGCTTCCTACCAGCAATCAGTAATCAGGAATCAGTAGAATTTCATTGGTGAGACTAAACTCAAAGTATTAGAGCTTTGCCCACACCAAATCAATGTGTACCTACTCATTGGTTGTACGACAATGCGTCCATCTGAGGGAACGAAGGAACACCACCCGGTCGGGCTTAGAAATGGAAGTGGAAACACAGCCAACGCTTCAATAGCCGTGCATTTAGACGATACACGGCACGACACAAGTTCACTGATGCTTCCAGAATTATCTATCAGGCCCCAAAGAACCGTTCGAACTATTTCCGCAAACGACTACTGGATCAAGCTGTATGAACCGTAGCGACATTTTCAGAAGAAGCTAGCTAAAGGCTTAGGACTACCCTGGCCCAAACGGCCGGTGAGCTCTGACACACGAGGTCATAGCGTCGGTTGTCGTGACTTAACAGACAGCAATATCAGCATCCAATTAACTCGCTCTAGGAGTAATGACTTTTAATGTCCGCCTGCATATTCTGACCTGCACATAATTGTATAAGCCTGAAGATAAAGTACCGAAAACATATGTTCGCTTACCCTGACTTCTGATCATACACTATGGAATATTTTAAAGACCTAAATAGTAAAGCTGCTGATTTTTTACTGGTAGTAGACCAACGTGTATTGTTCACTGATAACCCGAAGCTGTATGGCTATGAGTAACGGAGTCTAATCTGACCTCAACTAATGCATGATATTCGCAGCATGCCAGTGCATTTTGCATAGAGCTAAACTATACGGCTCCAAAAGGTTACTTTGAAGCGCTGTACCTTCAGTTACTTCAAAATTATTGATTTACTCTGGCATCTTGCCTCGGAATCATGATAGACTGGTAAATTAGGTTACCCGGTTTGTGTCAAACCCTTCGAGTTCCTAACCCCTAAGTGAACGATGACCTTTGTTTGTCAACTTTTCAGCCTCGAAACTCGGGCCTTTACTCATATAACAACCGGTCTTTCCCTAATATTCACTCCTCTCTACTCCTAGGCAAAAGATTGTCCCCTATCCCAGAACAGGATTCACAAATTGAGTGAGTCACTTATTTAGGCACAGTCAGTGGCCAAGTTTCACCATTTTGTGGGTGTATTCATAAGGTACAACCATATAACCATCTCGGTTATCACCAATAATACAATTTTCCTATTCTAAACGTTTTGTATACGATTCAGTATCTCGCATAGCACAATGTTTAGGGCTCAAGTGTCCTAACGCATGTGGAAGGTGCAGCAGTGATATATAACAGTTAAATAAGCTAACACTAAACAGGTCCGGTAAGAGGGGGAAGAAAAATTAACCAGGATTGTGTCAATAAAATTAAGTTTGCATATTTGAATTCACCGGGAATTCACCGGGAAATGATGTGCCCCAGAAATGGAACCTCAGGGACGTTAAGTATGCACTTTTTCGTGTTCAAGCGGAGATTTGGTTCACTGAGTCGATGACTGCTAATATGTAAGCGCTCGTCATGCTCTTTCGGCGAGCGACCGGAGACACAAATATCAACCAAGCAGGCAACCTGCCCATCAGTAACTGCCAGAGCTTGAGTTGTGAACGTCTGCCGGGCAGCAGATGCTGAGCTAAGATCCATGGGTAAAACATTGTACTGAAACGGTCCATCAGTGGCTAGGAAGGCGGTAAGGGGCTTGGAATTCTCAGACAATGGCATGTGGAAAAACAATGTTCTTAAACCCAGGTTTGAGAAAACTGTTACACCAGAAATTGTACTGTCAGCTCATTATAAGATGTTAGCACAGATCTTTCGACGACTATCTGCTTATTTAGACCTTGTACATCAGTATGTATCCTGACAGTGTCGTTTTCTTTCAAAACACTCACAATTAAACGTGCACACGGAGCGATCGATTGGCTCGGTTAGTGTTCGTTAACATGTCCTGCAAGGCTGCTGAGACTGCTTGAAGCTTTTCAAGTGGTATCGATCGAGGTGGGCTGAAAGCAACTGGTTTCGCATCCTATTTCGTCTGAATGCCATGAACACCACATGATGTAGGTCGGAAAGAAGGTTGAAAACTCTTTGGTTTTCGCTCTTACCAGTAGGTCACTCCAAAGGAATAAACCGTCAAACGACCTTAAGATGGCGCTACTTTCAGCACAACCATTGCGTTCCTCTCAAGCAGAGGTCGTTTGTTACCTGATGAAACGTATACCGCGATATCCGCAGATTCTATTCCAATCCGGAGACGTAAGATGAGCAAACCAAAAATAGTTAGATTATTGACACTGTAACTACAGAATGAGTAACCAGTCGGGTGTAAACGGTATTCAGAAAAGTAAAAATTGCAGAAACTGGATGGCACGATAATAGCAGAAAAGGAGATATCCAATTAGACTTCTAGTAGAATAACCCCTTGTTCGTAAGGAATAAGAATGTTCTAATATCTACAAAGAGAATTTGCGATTCAACAACATAAAACATCACGTTCCCCAAGTTGCCTACCTTATCAGTGACTGATTGAACATGTTGCTCTACTGAATCGGCTACGCCTTGCTCGGGAACGGAGTCCTGTTCAACGAGTGCGATGCTTTGAGATCGACAACATTGAGCAAAATGCACAATTTTCCACAGTTTTACTTGTGAGACTGCGGACTGAACGAGAGAAAAAGCTTCCCTTGTGGGAGGTACAATCACATCAGTAGCGGGAGGGTTTATTCCTCAATAAGTGATGTGTAGACCGCATTTTGCTATAGCGGTCAGTTTAGTTGCACAAGACCTTTTGCTTACCCTGCTTTGTTGAACCTCGCTCAAAGCTTCTTGATCGATTTGCGGGCTTCTACTTAGTGCCTATTATTTCTGCACAGTTGTACATTCTACATGCCCCTACAATATACTTCTGTTCCATCTACCTTCTGATACAACATTTGGCACAGCGGACAGAATTCAAACCTGCGCGGGGAAACCCCATTGGCTTAGATATCAGGATAGGCATAGGGTAGCGAATCACAACACTGTTTTCACATACTCGGATCCCTTTTCATTCAAACACGCGATAGGAGCTCGGCTAGCCTAGTAGCCATAACCTCCATTGCATTCGGGCAAATGATGTCATCCTTCGGAGAACTAGCAGCGCTTAATTAGAGAACCGTCTTCAACACAATTGCTGGATTTTTGGTAACATATGTAAATAATGGAATTAGAAAAGTGAACGACAGTATGCGATAGGAACAGACTGCGCCATGTCTCATGGTTGTTAAACAGGTATTCATGACTTTTAAACGGAGAAAACTTGCCAGGTCAAAACCCACCACCTCCTGAAACACTGCTACAAAACTATTTGCTAGAAAATGGGAAACTCGGAACCACCCAAATGGCACCACGGGGAGGTTGTTCGGCCAGCAATCCTTGTTACGTGAATCCGTCTCTTCGCTCTGACTACATTTTTCTAGCACACCCTGCATTTGCTGATGGCTAGCCTCATCGCTGTTGCTGACAACTCCGTACTTTATGCCGTTCCGCTGGGTCATAATTTCCCCCTCCACTGTGCCTTTACTGTAAACGGTCCGATGCCGCGCTTCGACTTCACTTTCGCATCCACGGTGTCTCCTCTGTTTTACTTGTCTTTTTCTGGTCATTCCTCTTCAATACTGGATGCATAAGATCTTTTTCTAACCGCCGCGAGTAGCACAAATATTTTTAATCATACGTGGACACGACATTGCTTAGAACCACACTTCCTCACCTACGTAAAGCTGGATAGCGCCCGGGTACTTCAGGCATAATTGTATTTTTCACCCACCATCCGCTTTCTTAAACGCCGTTGAAATTACTTATGCGATGGCAAGCGGAAGGAAAAGTGCAGTGGGACCAAGCATAAGGCTTCTTTTTCTTCTGTTGTACAGACATTACACTGGATTAAGACCGAGGTTTGATGATGGGCTTTGCGAATCTCTAACAGCATTCGATTTGACCTTCGAAAACAGCTTCTTGACTTATTTGCTTGCCGCCTCTATGTTTCCGTTCTGCTGGATGTGATACGCACTGGTTAGTCGCTACGATAATTCCTGCTTTTCCTCAAAGGTCTGGAAGGGAACACTTGTGAACTCTGGGACATTATCGGGGGCCAGCTCCTCCTGTGTTCCGAGTCGGGCGAAATGACATCTGAGCTTATTTATAACTGCTTCCGTGTGTTAGCCGTGGGTAGTTTAATCTCAAAACGGTCGCTGTTGTGGCTTACAGTGATTCAATAGACTTAACGTTATCTTCTGCCATGGTCCATGTTGAATCATATGCTGCTTCCTTGGTTACTTGGCCCTGCGAGCTTCGTGAGACCGACAGACTGGATAGATTGACACTTGATTTTGTATTTGGCTCGACATTCTGAGTCAGAACATTAGTGCCCTGCACTGCTACTGATGTGATAAACATCCAAATGGACTCAATGGGCGTGTTCCAGCATCTGTTTGAGGACCGATGAGGAGATTAAAACACGATTACTTTAAACAGCCACCCGTTACAAAATGCGAGTTGATCTCTAAAGTTAAAGAATAAGACTACTTCCTTTTTCCTTTACGCCTAGCCGCTCCCTCGAAATCATGACTCTCAGCGCCGCATAGGTCGCGTCTGCATGCATATTGTACCACATTTTCCAGGCGATAATGGTTATCGCTAACTTACTGCCTCGACTTCTTCCTGCTGTTGTTCGAAGTTAGGAAGAGGAGCTCTCGACTGAGCATCCGCGATAAACTTCTGTGTCCTCTGGGTGTACACAGGATCCATATTTTTGAAACCGGATGAGCACAGCTTGAAGACTTTGAGTGACAGTACAATGGTTTACTGGCTTTAGAAATGAGCGGTTTGTGGTAAATATAGTCTCCCTCACAAATTTTTAATCGTTGCGTCTTCCCACCACGTAGAAAAAAGCAAGTACCTTCTTTTCAATCTGTGCGTATCGCTGTTCCGTCACTGCGAGCGCACAGCTACAAAAATCCATGGGTTCGCTCTCCCGCATTAGAACAACATATATACCAATCTGTCTGCTGTCATATTGAAAATCCAAATATAGAGATCTACCGGAGCATAATAGTATTGGTGCATTGCTAATGTGATACTTGATGGTCGTAAAGCCGCTGTCCTGTTGTTTTCGTTAACTCTAATTATCAATTTGGTAAGTCAGCCACTGGTTAAGCATTATGATTTCAGGTAGCCTTGACAAAATCTGACTCAAATGTTTTAGCATAACGGTTAAACGATTAACAGCCTTGTCATCCTTAGATTGCGCATCTCTTACACCATCTTGATTTTTGCTAGGATCGACCCTGATTCCTCAAATGTTAGAAATTGCCCGACATTACACAAATTTTACACGTATATTTTTGTACAACGCTGCAAGGTGGTAAATTTTGGAGTCACCTTAGTCGGTCTTGTCACAGGTCATCTGCCACGTATGTTACACCTCTTAGATCGTTAACAATGTGCAATTACGGCTTCTGAAAAATGTTACGAGAAAGTTGCAAACCAGACGGTAAAGCTAACCCGCGGAAACTTCCAAAGCCTGTGACAAAAGTTGCAGCAGATTGAGTTCTTCATCTAAGAATAAGATCCCCGATGATAGAGTAACTTTGGTGAAGGGCGTTACTTAGCCAAATGCGGTAGGTCACTTCAAGTTGGCAGCGTATAGTGTTCTCGACGTAAGGCTGCATTTAACATTATTACATATATGCGTAAGCGCAAGTCGCTGCTCGTTTTTGTAAAAATTTCAAATTTAATAACACAGTAAGTCGCTTCGCAAAACTTTGGCTTACGCCAAACTGCATCAAGTTACACATATTGATGGCGAACTAAGCACGTAAGGCAAACAGAACCGTTCTAATCGGTAATACAGTCGGTGGTATTGACGGATCTACTGATAAACGGGCGGAAACTACGAACCTCCCCAAACCTGGAATAAACACGGGGGATGCTGTTCATTAATAGCTATCAGCTTGACGCGCACTCACGAACGACTGTGGATAAAATGAATAAAACCAAGGCATTGAATCCAATCGATGCGCAGATCGGGCGTGAGATATTACCCAGGAGTAAGAAATCTTACTGAGTGACGTTTCGTCATTGGGTCTCACCACTTTGATTGTGGTCAAACCTTTAGACTGGAAATTAGAAAGTTTCCATATGCGCAGGGATCTCTGATCAGGTCGTATACGAAATCCTGAACACTGCTTCGCTGGCATTATGGTGATTGCAGAACCCGTGTCCAACTGGGAACGCGCGATTTCCTCGCCAACTAATAAACTTGCCTAGACGCACTTCTTTGATCCCGTCCCAGACACGTTGCTGCTTGCATTTGCAAAGCATTTATGTATTGTGTCTCGATTAAATGCATTCACACTGGAAAACCGGTAACAGTGAGCAAAATGATTCCGTCTGCCACATTTGACACAAATATGCACTTACACTTGATATTGATCACGATCCTTGGGGTATCGCACCCCGCAACATCTGCACTTTTCGAGTGTCTACGTAACAGGCTTCGTAATTTCGTTAAGTAAGTTGAGTGCGGCACGTAACTGCGTCAGTTAGAGACAGTACCTGCTGGATGTGGCGTGTAAATACAAAGTTATCGTGGCCCATATCAATGCATTGCCAGAGCGAGAAATGCCGTTGCGGCAATAGCTGCCTTGTGATGTTTACGTTATTGATTCCCTACACGACTCTATCTCAGAGGAGACTGTCAGCCATGCAACCGCAAAAGTTACAAAAACGAGACGGAATGTTAACCTCCGTACTGTTCTCGAGCATTTTATTGCGAGTAAAGAAAAGGCGTAACGCTACAAAGTCGCATCACACACGGATCGCAGAGTATTCAGATAACTGTCTCCAGCTCAGCCTAATATTAGTCCTTCGGAATCAATTACCGAAGTTTCCGATGTTCATGCGATTCTTTCTTAGACTCTATCAAACAAACTCATTCCAGTGCTTACAAACATTAACCTTAACGTAGACGGAGACGAGTAGACAGAAAAATATCTCCTCCGTTCTTTTGCGACATTCAAGCTGGTGGTTAGTGGCAGTGGTAGACTGCGCATAAAAATAACCGAGACTTAATATGTCCCTTAAGATGGAGATCGAAAGTTTACAAAATAAAGAAAAAAGCAATCTTAAACGTTTAACGACCAAAGACAGTTAACTTGCAAAGCATCATTTTGTCCGTCTGACTCGTGTATAAAAGTCGAATGCAACAGTTTTTTCCGAAAACGGGTGTGGATTGATACAGTTTTATTTTCTTAATGTACGCATGGCTCTTAGTTTGCTGTTATGGCTGGGCCTAAACAGCTGTTAGAACCAATGAACAGGCCTGCTGAAAATCTGGTAAATCATGATAAGTTCACCACGAAAAACTCCCGAAATACTCAGACACTGTTCGTGGCCTGACGTTGGGACATTTCCAAAATAGTGAGATCCCGTTTCAGCCATGGATACCATGCTTGAATCGTACATGCCAAATGCGGGTCTGTTTGCATAAAGCAGCTGCGTAAAATAGCTGACCAAAAACTCCCTTTCAGAACCCCGATTTTGGGATGCAGGTTTTTTTTATTAGCGCAGATTGCTCCGAGCAACTATTGTCTTCCTTGGTTAGTACACCGTGAAATTAACTTCTTGAGCTTAGGTACTGAAATGTCAACGTTTATGTTCCTTTCCGTTAAATACTCGCAAACGAAATAGACAGTTTTTGTTGGACGGAATCTATTACAGGCAAATCGATGGCGTGTCCACGGGGTCCCCCATTAGACCTCTCTTTGCCGACATCCTTCTCGCTAAGCTTGAGCGTAGTCCCATTCAAGGTGTTATTGCCTCATTTGATTCTTATTGGAGGTATATGGATGACACGATCATTATCTGTGCTTCTCGTATTGATGTCAACCATGTGCTCGACCATTTCAACACTGTACATCCGTCAATGAAGTTCACCAGTGAAATGGAAAATGAAGGTAAGCTGACTTTTCTGGGCATTTTGTTGAGGAGGCGCGAGGACGGATCACTTGAGCGTAGTGTCTTCCGCAAAGCTACTTGGTTTGGACAGTACACACAATTTTCGAGCTTCGCCCCTCTGAAGTACAAACACAACTTAGTGCGTTGCTTGTATTACAGGGCCAACAAGATTTGTAATCCGGAGACTCTCGAGGATGAGAAGGACCGAATTGTGCAAACACTCCTTTCGAATGGATACTCTGAGCCTTTCATCAAAAAGCACGCCATGACCCGTTTGCGCGTTAAGCCCCTAGCAAAGGTTCCGAAGAAGATGTGTTTCTCTCTGTTCCTTTTAATGAGATATCGCCTTCGATCTCCTGAACAGGAGACTTCCTAATGCCCTAGAAAGGACCTACCCGGCCGCCCACTAGCATGTAGTTGTTGAGACCACTCCTTTCATAGCTCAACCTCTTAAAGACAGACTGCCAGTGTCGTCCGAATTATACATTGTTTACCAGTTTACTTGCATCTGTTGCTTTTTTCTTTTATTTTGTATTGCGGCACAATAACTTTGGCGTTTACCAACACTGGTTAAGCTGTCAAATGACAAGGATTGATTATCTATCACGTCACAATACTTAACGGCTACGTGTGTTTTGCGGAAGATCCACAAGAACATAGTAACGTGTTTCGAACAATCATACCCTAAGACAATAAGGCAACTTGCTGGAGATTCCATCTGGCATTTTTCGGGTGACAACTCCATTGATATTGCCTGGATGGAGTTTGCTGGCAAGTTAAGCGATCTGATTAAATCCGCATGTGAACATAGGCTCCTTCGTTTTACTAGAGCACCATCATTCATTCGGAGCAGAACCCGAAAACGCATGGCGGTAACAGAAGTAGAGCAGCATGTGTACAGAGTGAACCTTAGCCCTGTCAATTAGAACTACCTTGTAGTGCATCGTAGTTACTGTACCACACTTGTCTGTGAGGACAAATGAGTACATTAATAGGGCTTAGCGGTAAGGTTTTGTGCCAACAACAAGCTACTGTACAGACATGTCAACTGCCTCCAGAATGTGAAGCGTGGTGTTCCCAACTCATCTTAGTAAACGATTGTGCCCAAGCAGCCGAAGATGCACACACATCGTTCGTTCTACCGTTTCGATATGTTCCCATAATCAGGCACGCCACCAGCAGGTGTCACACACCTGTTCCATTCACCCAGACACCAGTATTTCCACATACCACATTTAGTTCAACGACCGTTTTGTGGCAGCGGCTATCATCATGCAGCTGTCGATCCCCCTGAAGTTGAAATCATTCGCCCGAAACCACTACACGTGGCAGCTACAATGATGACTAAACAATAACCGAAGTTTTCTAAATGATGCCCGGATGAACAGGAGATTCCCGGAGTGTGGAAGATAGGTATCATGACCCCGATTTTCAAGAGTAGTAGCAGTTCGGAGCCGAATAACTATCGTCCAGTGATTCTCTTTCCAGTTCTTGCAAAGGTGATCGATCCGATGATAGCTCTAATGGGCCATATAGAAAGATCTAACTTCACCACCCTGAAGTGACAAGGATTCTGTTAGCATTGGTCATGTACTACCATGCTATTGATCGCGCTTGGCAGCTGTACTGAAACAGCGAGTAGTGGGACCGGCAATGCTGCAACAGCGTCTCCGGATGCATGAAACCAATAACCAGAGGACACGCCGGGCGTAGTTAATTTATCAACCCCATTAGGGTCATTGATCCTACTTTCGGGCACACAACATACGTCAATATCCAGTGTGTGCAACGTGTGTGCGAGTGCAGCCTCTTGACCAATTTGTCTTAATGTGCGAACTAAAAATTTGTAAGGCTTCACAATTTTGCCTGTCATCCTTGCGAAGAGCTCGTGGTAGACAAAAATTGACTTGGCAACCTGAAATGGAGTCAATGACACCAAACTGGGTGCGCTCAGTCCCTTTCGCCTTCCGGGCTGGAGTCCATCTGACTCGCCTTGTGCTTGGCTCGAGATCTTACAGGACATGGATCGCAGTCGACACCAGTGGCGCGTCTTCTGCCGTCTCCTAGGCGGACTTCATGTTTAAAGCATGTTTGGTGCTGAGTTATCTGCGGGTTACTGGTCGATTATGATGCGGAGCAATGAAAGTCGCAAGGAAGCTGTCTCGCTGATGTTGCCAGTTCACCAGCCCTTTCCGTAACAAAGCGGTAAGGAAACCAACATTCGTTTTCATGCGAATAGCTTGGTGAGCCGCTTGAAACCAGCAATTCCCTTTTTCCATGTTTCTTTTTATTTTTGCGTACATGCTTCCTATTTTGATCATCCTGCGGGATTTGTCAAACCACCACTTTTTATCCGCCATAACTCATTGTTCATTGCCGGTTTATTGCTCAACAGTCCATCAGCTGAAGAGAGGCCACACTTAAGAGGAGTAGGATCAGTCCGTTACCAACAACATCCTCGATGTGGGTCAACGCGAGAGCTTCATGAAATAATTCAAAAGGTTCACTCCAAGGACTGGGAGATGCAGTTGAAAGGGGCGGAAGGGATTCAGGGATTTCTACGAGCAGGAGACCGCAGAGTTCTGGACGGGTTACTAGAAAATCCCCAACTTTTACACTCACTCACGGATGGACTACTCAGAGGAATTCGGAGCCTGCGCTCCCAGGTAAATGTTGTCGAAAGTTTTAACTGTAGAGTTTGGCATCATTTTACTCGCCCAATTTATCGTATCATATGAATCAGCAAATAGAATTAAGCAGTGTGATTGCAATAGACATCTGATACTTTCAACAGTCTCTTTCAGCTAAGTACGTCCTTTTTGTGCAAATACTGAGTGACAGAAATGATCAAAAATGGAGTTGAGCATGCTGGGTAAAGAAAAAGTGAAGGAAGACAGGATCACTAGTGTTTGGCTTAGCAGTCCCTTCTAAGGGATTGATTTCTTGAATGGAACATTTGGTTTATGCTTCACATCATATAGCAGTGATTACTTTTGACCCTACATACATTCATCTGCTGAAGCAAATTCACAGTACTGATCAGGGTACTTAGCATATCAAACATAATGTTAGCAAAACCAGAAATAGTCTGCCGGGGTCTGTTTCATTTTCTGCTGTACTGACTGTAGTTAATCGCAGTGCATACAGTGTACTGACTTTCTTTCGCTATCTGTAATAACCAACATAACCTCTTAAAGTTACTTCACGGAAGCTAGCACTTCTATCTTTTTGTGTATTAAACAAAAATTAGGTGAGTTGTTAAGCCAAAACATTTGCAAGATAAATCTACGGTTGTTGTTTTCGTTATTGCCTTTCGCATACCTCCATATGGCTGTGTACACAGCGAAATAGCTAATATTTTCAGCAATATACTTCTGACCATTGCTGTTTGCGGTTCAGTAGGATGGATGCTGACAAAACTTTGAAATCCTAAATAACCTTAAACGAAAAACAAATGCACATTGATGGACTGACCGGAATTTTCACGTAAAAGTAAGTAAAAGTACGTTGAATGGTATGCCAAAGACTTTGAAACCCCTTGCACAAGGGATAAACATTATATTCCAACTACGAATGACTCGCGTTGTAAACCCTGTCAGCTAACTACTCTGGTATCACTAGCCAAATTTCAGCTATCGCAATTCTTTCCTTCTTTCTATACGATTGGTGGAGGAACGAAATATTACCACTACCGTGCTGTGAGATATTGGAAAACCAAAAATATATAATGAATACAAAGTAAAGGACGGAAACAATCTTGTGCTTTTTATTGTTAATAATATTGATAGCATACATCGATATTGGGAGCGTGGTTGGGGTGGGATAGGGAGAGACAAATGGACTCAATACACAACAGCCACAGAAGTCAGCTTCTAGCCAGTTCAACCGATTTATCCAGCCAATCGTGTTCATAGTCTTTCAGAAACCAACCATGAAGTTGAAGCTCCAACCGAGGCCACTTTCGAAATGTGGGTCTACACCCCGATTGACTTGGTTGGCCTCCTTTCCGCTTTCATCCACACGCCAGTCGCGCAAACTACTTCTCAAAAGTTGGTGTACTAGCATGCTCAGTCACCGGAGTCTGTGCGAAGTAACGATGCTGGGCTATTCATTCGTTCATTTTGTGCCACATAAAAGGCACCGAACACGTTCAATGCGTGGTGGTTGAACGCAAATAATACTAAGATTAATAATAGGTATATTTCTCATCTAGTGAGAAACTCTTCGTATTTGACACAGATCATTAATTTTACAGAAAATGTTTTGTCCTTGATTCATTCTAATACATGCATGAGTAGCAAACTGTTTTATACTTTGTACTGTCTGATATTTCATAGGTGTGTTTTGACTCACAGGTTTGTTTCAACGCAATATGAACTGGTTGGATTAGAGGATAATAATAGCATTAGGAGTGTACGACACTGTGCGAATTTCTTTCACCCATCAGATGTTTTCTGGAGCGACTCACCAAATGATCTGTCCTAAGAGAACAGGGTTATAATCGTGTTCAAGCATAGGTTATTGGCGAGCTTAACGCGAAAGGCCGTTGCGCTTCCACACGATCTGATTGTGACTGGGAGCTTATCCCACAGGACAGTAAATCTGATAGGGAAAAAAGTTGAGCCGCAGATTTATCCTGCACTGGGTTACACTTAGGGTAAACTCCGTATTGCCTAGCTCTCTTGTCGAACTGTGCTGCAGTTCAAGAAAGGCAAATAACAGTGGGCGTTTTGATGAATCACGTTGTACCGAAGAATTAGGTTATGCCTCAATCTTCGTTACCCCACCGGAGCGAGGTGGAATTGTTGGCAGTACTCCCGATAGTTCTTAGTGGTAGCTTTGCCTAGCAGACGTTCAGTAAATGATCTCTGTATATTTTCTAGAGATACTCTGTCAGATTCCCTCATGCTGCCACAAATGATGCCGCAATACCACAAAACTGGGCGAGTGGGGATTTTGAAGAGTTCTACTCTGGCTGGGGTTATATGGATTTTATACAGTAAAGTGGCCACTGATGTTCTGGCCTTGTCTGGCAGGTATTCAACGAATTCGGAAAAGTTAAAAGTGCAATATTGCCTGATTCCGAGGTGACTGGTAGACAGCTGTACACAAGGTGTTCGCCGTCGAGTGTAATTGATCACTCGGTATCGAACAACCGCGGTGTATGATGCTAGCTTTTTCCGCCGAAAATTTCATCATCAAGTTGTCACACCATTTCTCAATGGAGTGTAAAGCTTCCTGTATAAGCAGTAAGGTAACCTAAAGTTAAGCTCGTCGGAATTTGTAGAGTATCTTTATGTCATATATAAATAGCAAATGCATGTCATGTCTAACAACGTCAGTCATCTCATTGACGTGGATCAGGAACAGTAACGCCCTAAATGCCCTCCTTATGTGTCTCCTTATGTCTGTCGTCGTGGTTTCACAACCGCATACCAACGATGAACGAACGGGGCTGCATTGTAGAATCTGATCCGCAGAGCGAGAGTGATATCGAGTCTGCTACTTATGTGGCGAAGTTGAGTAAACAGCATCTCGAGCTTTGGCTATGCAGTTTGTAACTTCATCTTTTGTCAAATAGGCGTTGATAAAGTTGTCCAAGAAGCAAGATTTCGGAACGACTTCTAACTGATCACCGCTAAGGGTCAGTGTAGTGGTGGTACCTGAAAGTGTTGAGGGAAAGTTCTGTATTTGGAGGGTGAAAAGCATTGTCTAAAACTGCTGACGACCGGTGTTACTCTGTCCACCCCTTATTGACACGTATGTTAGTCCTCACATACTGTGGCATTATTACTAGCGTATTCCAGGTCAATAAAACGATCAGCGCCATGGCTTCTTAGTCATATTTGATGAAGCATTCTCAGAAAGTTTGTTAACAGAAAAGTTAGAATTGTAGGTGACAGCGGGCAGCCTTGTCGTACAGCGCCGCCTGAACGGCGCACATAAAACAATATGATAATGCATAATTACTTCTTTTTTAATTAAACACTTCTAAAAGTCCCATCGATCCGCTGAATTGAAAGCAATTGGACACTAGTATGGGTCACCAACAATGTAGTGAACGATGGCTTTAATGACTGGTACAAAGT